TAGTCTATGTAACATCATGGGAAAGCTCTAGTTATTTCATGGGTTGTCCAAAAAAAAAATTCTCTCTACTCTTCCCCACTCAAATTTATTTTAAATATAATCTCTTTACTTCCACTGAAGACCTACTCTCACACCTAATCATTGGGTGGAGGTGACCCTAGTTTCCCAGACTTTGCCATCAGAACGCAAGCTTTGGCAGGCCCCATCAAGATAGTTTCTAGTACAAGGTTGGGGACAGTTGTATGTCTGTCATCCTGGGACCAGCAGGGGTAAGTTTCTAGATGTTCATCAGCAGAAAACTGGCCACCAGATGATGCACTGATGAATATATTTTTTTGGCCACTGAAATTAATGTGGAACTAATTTGTTAAGTATTGAGGAGAGGGAAAGAGGTGGGATAGAAATTTTCATCCAGATTAGTGTAGAGTGTGCCTAGACGATTTAAATTATGATCCTTTGGAGCAAGGAAACATTAAATATCTTAATTAGAAGAAATAAATATGACAAATAATACTCTCAGGGAGGGGAGAGAGGTAAAGAAGAGTGGTTGTTACCAAACCGAACAAAGATATCAAAATTACCCATATTTAAAATGATCACTGCTCTAGAAAATTCCTAGTTTCTAATATCATTTATAGGCATTTCCACAGGGATAGACCCTCTAAGAGCAAAAATTCCATTCTCTGTTCATCTCCTTTTGGCAGCTCACAGATGACGCTGCTGAAAAAACAAATCAAGTATTCTGGATCAGAACTTTCTCTTCCCTTCTCCCCTCCCTATCACCTAATTTAAATGCTTGTTACTATACTTTAACAACTTAAGATTACATTTCACTGACCTTCACTCAAGCTCACCTGGAGAAGCACATAAACCACGGAAAAACCCATAATGATTAGATCCTATCAGTCTGATGATTACATGACAAACAAAAGGCTGACTGTAACCAAGACCATAAGAACATCAAATTACTCTTTGAGGTTATACGTACAGTCCATCCAGTCCAAGTTTCTGCCTCACAAGGCATTCTAGGCAATATTTTATTGTCTTCATTCTATCACTAATTGTTAGCTTACTTAATAATTAAATGTGAGAAGTTAATAAGGGCATACTTCAAACATCTCTACTTCTACTAAATTGTTCCAGTGTTTGTGTATTTGGCTAAATTCTTCTAGTATCTTTTTAACCACTAAAACTTTATAGAACAAGTTCCATAAATTTATTTCATATTGTACAAATTAGTATTACATTTTGATTTGTCATAAAACCACCATGTTTTAAGTGTCAAGGGAAGCCCCACCATTATAGTATTTTAAGATTTGGCATATCAAATCTGTTTCACTAATTTTCATGATTTTGTAAACTTCAATTATCTCCTTTCTAATCCTTCAACTTTAAAGAAACTTTCTTTTCCAAATAGCTAATGAATTTAAGTCTCAATGATAAAGGAAATAAAGGTCCCTCAAAAAAAGAAAAGAAAAACGCAATATCATCTTGACTATCTCGGTTCATTGAGAATTAGTATAATGAAAATTTTTTTTAATGCTTTGCTTAGAATCAGAAGAAACCTGAGTGTGAATTCTACCTGTGATACTTAATAGCTGCGTTACCTTTGGGAAGTCACTCTATTTGAACCTCATTTCCTCATATGTAAAATGGAGATAATAACTCTTGTAATACCTACCTCAGTGAATTGCCGTGAGGTTCAAATGTATGTAAAGTGCTCTTAAACTGAAAGTGCTATATAAAAGTCAGCTGTATTAATGTAAATTGTGTAAGTTTGTTAGTGTAAATGTAGGAAATCACTCTGGGGTAGTATGTAGTAAGGGCAGCCTCTAAGGAAAGACCTGTTAGCCGGCCATAAATTTAGAGCTAGAAGGAACTTAGAAGTTATCTAATCATCTGGACAAAACCACAAAAGTATTTTTTAAACACTCATGTAGAGATTATTTTCATATTCAGTCACAGATGTAAGTGAAAACCAATCAATTGTTAAAACATACCAACCTCTGTTTAGGCTGGCACTAAACTGAATTCTCAAATAGGGACCATGATAATATATTGCCCATATCCACTAAAGGACTTTACCTAGATTTTCATCAATTCAACAAGTATTGCATTCTACTATCTTTTGAACGTGGTATTCAAGTACCATGAAAGCTAAAAAGAAAGCGAAGACAAAGTTTCTACCCAGAAGAAGCATAAAATTTTGTTGAGGAGACAGAACTATGATGTATCACAGTGCAAGATGATACATTATTGAGTGCAGATTTGAAGCTGCAGACAGTAAGTATTACAGGAATATAGAGAAGAAAAAGATCAGTATGGTCTGTGTAGGCAGAGAAGGTTTAAGGGAGAAGGTGAAGAATAGGTAGGATCAGGATGAGGAGGAGAAGGGGCTCTCAAAAGCAGTAGTGCTGAGGACCATTCCAGGTCTATAAAGGTCCTTCACCAGTAAGAGCAATATTGTAACAATAATTCACTGTGAGACTTAACTACTTTGATCCAAGACTCACGATGAATGGACTCATGATGAGAAAATGCTATCCACCTCCAGATAGAGGACTCTGAGTGCATATTGAAGCATACTTTTTGAATATCATAGTTTTAATACTTCATTTTTTGTTTTTAACATATTTTATTTCATTAAATATTTCCCAATTACATATAAAAAATTTTAACATTCATTTTTAAAAATTTTGAGCTCCAAATTCTTTCCCTTTCTCCCCCCTCCTTGGGAAGGCAAGCAATTTGATATCAATTATACATGTAAAGTCATGCAAACCATTTCCATATTAGCCATGTTGCAAAAGAAAACACAACCACCACCACCCCCCCTGCCAAATAAAGAAAGTAAAAAGGTATGCTTCAATCTGCATTCAGACTCAGTTAGTTTCTTCATCATTAAGTCTTTTGGAATGGTCTTGGATTGCTGAGAATATCTAAATCATTCACAGTTGACTATTCTACAATATCGATTGCTGTTTTTGTGTACAATGTTCCCCTGATTTGGCTTACTTTATTTTGCATCAGTTCAGGTAAGTTTTCCCAGGCTTTTCTGAAACCATTCTCTTCATCATTTCTTATAACACAGTAATGTTCCATTGCAATCACATACCAAGATATTAATACTTAATGAAGGTAATAGATCTCTCATCTACTACATGGCCTACTCTCTCACAACCACTCCCACCACTACCACTATGCCAACTAAAGTCTGGGCAGAAAGTCTTTCCCCTGCAACTACATATAAAAAAGAATCAGGCCTGAAGAAGAAGTATGTTAGGCTAGAGCCTACCCCATTGGAGTGTATGAGAAATACAGTGATAGAGGAAAAAGTCAGCTTGGATGCTCTTGGGAGATGGGGAATGTGGACAATTAAGAAGAGAATGGGGCTGAGAGTCAAAAAGTCCTAGGTTCAAATACCACTTATGATAATTTATAAGCTGTGGGACAGAAGGCAAACTGGGCAGACTTAATCCGGACTCTCTCCCATGCAGGAAAACAATCATAGGAACTGGAATTGGAAGGGATCTTAGAGACCATCTAATTCAGCATCCTCCTTTTCTAGATGAGGAAAATGAGGTCCAGAGATAGAGCTTGATTTTCTCAAGATCACATTGCTAGCAAACAGAATTTGAACCCAGGCTTTCTGACTTCTAATTCCATGTTTTTTCTACTATACCACACTAACTCTTTTTGACCCATCTTTCTGGATTGACCAAATGTTTGAATACAATCTGGATTGCGCCTGATCTCAAATAATTCACTTATAAGGTTATACTCTACTTACATTTAAACATGAATAAATGGGACTTCTAGGGAGAATTAGAAAGCTTATAGGGAATTCATATCTAGCAGAATAATGAAGTCTTCCATGAAAACCTAAGTAAAGAAGAGCCAGGAAGTTGTCCTTTTGTTTCCCATCTTTTCTGTCCGTTCCCCTCTCCCCCCGCCATTTCCAGTCTCTTGCAGAACTACCTCCTAAAGTTTAATCTATGTAGGGTACATCCAATTTTCCCTCAGACTGTCCTGGAACAGGGGAAGTAGTTAAATATTTAAGTTCCCGAAAGCTTGTCTGCATCCAGAGTAAACAAAGGAAGCTGAGGTGTCAACAAAGCTGAAATGGAAAAGACTAAGTGCAAAAAGTTAGTTTTGAGTGTCTGTAGAGACGGCGACAAAACAAGTACTTAATTGGAGTAGGTGCCACTGACCCACTTAAAAATAAGATTTGCTCTGGACAGGTCTTCTTACACATTACTTTCCTTTGGGCACTCTGCCATCCCATGACAATGGACTCCATGCTGTTTATCGCACAAGCCATTCCATCTTCTAATTCCCTGACATTTTCACTGGCTTCCTTCATGTCCCAGCTAAAATCCCACCTTCTGCAAGTAGCCTTTCCTGATCCCTGTTCATGTTAGTGCCTTCCCTCTGTTTATCATCTTCAATTTATCCTATATCTAGGATATCTTGTTTGTACATAGTTACTTTCATATTGTTTCTCCCGTTAGACTGTAAGCTCCTTGAGGGCAGGGATTATTTTTTGACTTTCTTTGTATCCACAGTGTGCTTAGCACAGTGCCTGACACTCTTGTTTTTGTTGTTCAGTCATATCCTAACTCTTTGTGACCCCATTTGGGGTTTTCTTGACAAAGATGCTGGAGTGATTTGCCATTTCCTTCTCCAGCTTATTTTACAGATGAGGAAATTGAAGCAAATAGGGTTAAGTGATTTGCCCAGAGTCACACAGCTAGTAAGTTTCTGAGGCTACATTTGAACTCAGGTCTTCCTCACTCCAGGCCTAGTGTTCTATTCACTGCCACCTAGCTGCCCCCATACTAAGACACATACTAAGCCCTTAATAAATGTCTGTTGACTTGACAAACCCCAGTTTGGATAATGGAGTCCTTCCCAGGGACATTGACTACATAATGGGGGATAGTAAACTGGTCATGTGATATAAAGATAGTAATCAGTATATTTGGCTTTGGAAATTACAGGTTTGTGCTCCTCCTCCTGTCTGTGATGTGCTCCGAGAGCTGCAGAGCGCCGAAGACCAGTGCCTTCAGGAACTGTCAAAAGAAGGGAAGAACAATTCTGAAAATGAGCAGCTCATATCAGGTACAGGGCAAGCCATTGTCACATTATTCCTTTGCATTTAGCCAGTTCATTGGCTCCATGTAGATAATTTACCCAAATGGACATCCTTCTGATCAAGAAATCTTACCTTGTCGTCTTAAAGGATACAGTTGGGTAATCTATGCCAAATACTTTGTTCGTATAGCCTGTGTAGGAGCAGCCTCAGTTTTTCTCATAATACAATTTCTGCAAAAGTATTCCCATTAGGTTGATGATTTTTTTTTTGGGTGAGGTAATTGGGGTTAAGTGACTTGCCCAGAGTCACACAGGGAGGGAGTGTTATACGTCTTAGGCTGGATTTGAACTCAGGTCCTCCTGACTATAGGGCCAGTGCTCTATCCACTGCACCACCTAGCTGCCCCCAAGTTGATGATTTCAGAAAAAAAAAAGAGAAAGGTGATAGGTCTTCCATCTACTATACCTACCTCTTTGTCACAACACCATTGCCATTCTAGTCAAAGTCTAGACAGAGATGCTTTTCTCTGAAGCTACATGCAAAAAGAACAAGGTTTAAAAATAAGAAGTCTTAATGTCTGCACCCACCGAAATGTATGCAAAATATATTGACAGAGCAAGAGTCAGCTTGAGTAGTCATGGGAGACAGAGGTGGTATGGAGAATTGGATAGAGTTCTGGACTTGTAATCAGGAAATTCCAGATTCAAATCTCACTTCTGATGCTAGCTGTGTGACCATGGGCAAGCCATTTAATTTCTCTGACCAATAGTTTCTTCATCTGAATAATTACCTCAGAGTGTTGTTGTAGGCTCAAATGGAATCTATGTAAGATGCCTTGCAAACTTGAAACTGTTAGTGCCCCCCCACCCCAAATAGGTACAAAATTACTTTGTACTTATTATTTATTTATTTATATATGAATTGGTTGTTTCCCTTACAAAATGTAAGCTCTTTGAGGTCAGGAATTTTATTTGTCTTTGCCTCCCCAGAACCTATCACAGAGTCTAATATGCAGTGAGTGCTTAATAAATAACATAAATGTCAGCTATTGTTGTTATTACTTCTACTAACAAAATAATATAGTGAAGTCTACCATTAATCCAAAAATAATCCTGCCTTTGACATTTACTAGCTGTGTGACCCTGAGCAAGTGACTTCATCACTTTGAGTATCATTTTTCTCATCTGTAAAGTGAGGACAAGAATACCTGTACTTCCTTTGTAAAGATGTCATAAAGTTCAAATGAGTTAATGTATATAAAGTGCTTTGGAAATTTTAAAGCATTTTCAAAGTGCTGGTTAATATTAATTTGACAAATCTGGCATGTGAGTTTGGGGAGGGCTATATCCTCTCACCGGGCAGGAAGAAGGGGTGCAATGATTGCCATTCTGCCCTGTGCTTCTCACTCCCATATTCAGTTGCCATATCTTCAAGAGATCTCCAAATTTATGAAACCTATCTGAGCCCCAGACCTTCCCCTAAAAAAAGTAGCCTGAGGGAGCACAAACAGGAACTTATAGACAAAGATTAAAAATCCAGTTGTTTTTCTTGCTCTCCAGATGTGACATGGCAAGACAGCACCATCTGAGGTGAGTGTCCACTCTCACCCAAAACACTTGGCAGCTTGAATTTCCTTCTTTAGGTGCAGAATAAATGACTAAACTGCTCAGAACTAGACCATTTGGAGAGGGCAGCTGAGTGAAAGGGGGATGTTATTGGGGAAGATTGAGGGAGGTGGGTTAATGTTTGAACTCCAGAAAAGTCACAGGAAGTCCCAATTGTGGAGCTGTCACTGAGCCCAGGCACACTTATCACAAATAAAAAATTAACTCTTCTCCTATTCTAGGTTGTTTAGTTTTGCCCAAGGCCTTTCTCCCTTTTTTTGTGAACTTCTCAGGGTCACCCTAATAATTACTTGGCTGGCTATGCTGGGCAATTTATAACCGTGCCCCAGAGCACACACAGGAAGCCTTCTCAGTTCTACCCCCTTCGGTGCAGGGGTGTTATAATTCAACCCAATTCAGGTCAACAGATACCTTTTGTGTGCTTAGGAATGCACTGTCCTAGGTGCTGGGAACACAAAAATAGAAGAAGACGTAGTTCCTGCCTTCAAGAATCTTATAGTAGCTAACATTGGTATTGTAAAAAGCAGCTAGGTGGCCCAGTGGGTAGAGTACTCAGACCCTCACTAGCTGTTTCATGTTGGGCAACTCACTTAAACTTGCTTGGCCTCAGTTTCCTTTTCTGTAAAGTGGGAATTAATAATAGTATCTACCTCAAATCAAATGAGATAATACATGTAAAGCACCTTGCAAACCTTAAAGCACCACATAAAAGCTAACTATTTATAATAATATAATTTTAATTATCATTGTTATTATTATTAGAGATTCTTACATTAACTCACTTGAGCCTCCCAACATTCTTGGGAGGAAGGTACAATAGGGACTATTATCCTTATTTTATGGATGAGGGAACTAAGGCTGAAGGAAGTTAAGACATTTATTTCTGGTCATGTGCTAAGTGTGGAGATAGGATTTGAACCAGGGCCTCTCCTGATGCCAAGCCCAACACTGTTACCCTTGCACCTAACAGGAGAGATGGGAAGTATACAAAAACATACAAACACAAGTTAGAATATAATCAGCACACTGAAGAGGTCCAAACAGTATGGCATATAGCATCAGAGCTGGGCTTTGAAAGAAGGGAAGGATTTCAACAAGTTAAAAGTTAAAGGTTAATTGTAAAGATTAGTTGGTTCCAGGCATTAGGGGATTAGCAAGAATAAAGGAATGGAGGGGCAGCTAGGTGGTGCAGTGGATAGAGCTCCGGCCTTGGAGTCAGGAAGACCTGAGTTCAAATCTGGCCTCAGACACTTGACACTTACTAGCTGTGTGACCCTGGGCAAGTCACTTAACCCTGATTGCCTCACCAAAAAAAAAAAAGAAGAAGAAAGGCATGGAGTTAGTAGAAGACAGGATGGGAATGGGGAATGGGAAAAAAAATACTTTTTGACAAGAAAGTAGAGTCTGTAAAGGGCCATAGTATGAGATGAAGGACTGGTAAGTTGAAGCTGGACTATGAAGGGCCTTCAATATCAGGCTAATGTCATATGGTAGGCAATGGGGAGTCATTGAAGGTTTTTGATAACATGTGCATTGGAAGATGACTCTAGTATTTGTTTGATGGCTGGAATGGGAAGAGGTAGAGTGGAATCAGGGAAACCAATCAGAAGCTAAGATATTAACCCAAATCAGGCAGTCAACTAGCATTTATTAGCATAGCATCGCCTACTATTGTGCTAAGCTCTGAGGATACAAAGAAAGGCAAAAAAAAAAAAAGAGAAAGAAAGAAAGAAAGAAAGTTTCTGCCCTCAAGGAGCTCACAGTTTAGTGGAAGAGATAGATATAGAGTAAACTGGAGGTAATCTCAGAAGGAAAACAGGAACATTATGGGGGACCAAGAAAGGCTTCTTACAGAAAGTGAGATTTTAAGTGGCACTTGAAGGAAAATGAAGAGGGAGAGCTTTGCAGGCATGGGGGATAGCCAGTGAAAAAGCCTAGAGTTGGACAATGGAGCATTTTGTTAGAAGAAAAGCAAGGAGGCCAGTGTCATTGGATCAAAGAGGGTAAAGGTGAGTAAAGTATAAGACTAGAAAGGTAGGAAGGGGCATGATTATGAAGGCCTTTCAGTGCCAATAGAAGATTTTATATTTGATTTTGAATAATGGGACCCACTGGAATTTATTGAATAGGGGAGGAAGGGAAGGTATGATGTGGTCAGACTTGCATTTTAGGAAGATTAAAATGAGAAATAATGGGTGAGTGATTAAAGAGGGAGTAGAGAGGAGATAGTACAGAGGTAGAAATAGGTAGAAATTAGCAAATTTTTGGATATAGGAGGTGAAGGAGAGAAGAGTTTTTTAAAAGTGCTTGCAGTAGGGGTTACTGGGAAAATGATAGTATCATGAATGAAAATATGGAAGTGAGGAGGGAGCAAATTTATTGAGGGAAAAGTAATGATTATAGTTTCATACATCTGGAATTATATATATATATAATTATATATAATATATAATAGAGAATCCAGGTAGAGATATCTAGCAGGCAGATAGAAATGCAGGACTGTGGTTCAGTTTGGCTAACAAGGCTACAGATGCAGATTTGGGAGTCAATATAGAGGGTCATGGTAATAGGTAAGATCAATAAGGGAGCTCATATAAAGAGCAAAGAGAAGAAAAAGAAGAGGGAGAACAAAGCCTTGGGAGACATTCCCACTTATGTGTGGGAGGAAGGGCAGTCAGTAAAGGAGACTGGAACAGGACAGTCAGAAGGGTAAGAGGAGAATTTGCAAAGTCAGTGTCACAAGAATGAAAGAGGAAAAGACTGGTCAACAGTGTTCAGTACATCAGAAAGGTCAAGGAGGATGAAAGTTGAAGTCTCAATAAAAGAGTGGTTACTAATCTAACCCTGTAGATGGTGTGGTCTTGACCAAAAGCAGGCTGTAGGAGATGAGGAACGAGCTCATGGTGAGAAAGTTGATGCAGTGACTCTAGATTATTTTTCTTTTTTTTAAAGAATTTTGACAGTGAAGGGGAAGAAAAATATTGGATGATACCTTGAAGGGGTAAAAAAAGTCAAAGGAAAAGTTTTTTTAAAGGATGAGATACCTTTGTAGGTAAAGTGGAAGAAACTAGAAGAGGGAAAAATTGAACAGGCAAGAAGAGAAAGAAATGATGAATGGAACAAGGAGAAGACAGGAAGGAATAGGATCAAAGGCATAGATGAATAAGTTAGTTTTGGCAAGAAGGAGGGCCAGCCTTATCCTCTGAGACCTTGAGAAACAGGAGAGAATGGGAAGAGACATTTAGAGGGTTCAAAGTGTGGAGAAATGGAGTTGAGGGAGGTCATATCAGATGGCCTTCACCTTTTTTAAAAAGTGGAATGATGAGAGCCTTCTGCACAGAGTAAGATGATAGAGGTTACCTAGGCTTGGGGATTCATAGGACAGAAAGCGTAAGGAAGAA